AGAGGTTCATCTATCTTGTTTATTCTTTCAAAGAACCAGCTCTTGGTTTTGTTGATCTTATGTATTGTTTTTTTGGTCTCTATGTCGTTTATCTGTGCCCTGATTTTTGTTATTTCCTTCCTTCTGCTTACACTGGGCTTTTCTTGTTGCTCCTTTTCTAACTCTTTGAGTTGTAGAGTTAGATCATCTGTTACCCTTTTTTCTAGTTTTTTGCAATAGGCTTGTAAGGATATGAACTTCCCTCTCAAGACTGCTTTTGCTGTGTCCCATAGATTTTGGATTGTTGTGTTTTCATTGTCATTTGTTTCCAGGATGTTTTTAATTTCTTCCTTGATTTCTCTGGTAACCCAGTCCTTGTTTAATATCGTGCTGTTTAGTCTACATGTGTTTGATTTCTTTGGATTATTTTTTTATTGTAGTTAATTTCCAGTTTTATGCCATTATGGTCTGAGAAGATACTTGATATGATTTCTATCTTCTTGAATTTGAAGAGACTTTGCCTATGACCCAAAATGTGGTCTATCTTTGAGAATGTCCCATGTGCACTTGAGAAGAATGTATATTCTGTGGCTTTGGGGTGGAGTGTTCTGAAGATGTCAATTAATTCCATCTGGTCTAGTGAGTCAGTTATGATTGATATTTCTTTGCTGTTTTTCTTGTTTAGATGATTTGTCGAAGGGTGACAGTGGGGTATTAAAATCTCCTACTATGATTGTATTGTTATTAATCTCTCTCTTAATGTCCTCCAGCAGTTTTTTTTTTTATGTATTTGATTGCTCCTGTATTGGGTGCATATATATTTACCAGGGTTATTTCTTCTTGTTGGATTGTTCCCTTTAGTATTATGAAGTGGCCTTCATTATCTCTTATTATGTCCTTCACTCTGAGATCTAATTTGTCAGATATAAGTATTGCTACCCCAGCTTTTTTTTCATTTCCATTTGCCTGGAAAACTTTTTTCCATCCCTTCACCCTCAGCCTGTGTGCATCTTTTTTTCTGAGGTGGGTTTCTTGTAGACAACTGAGGTATGGGTCTTGTTTTCTTATCCAATCTGTTACCCTATGTCTTTTGATTGGAGCATTTAATCCACTTACATTTAAGGTTATTATTGATAGGTACACATTTGACGCCATTTTTATTCTATATCCGTGTTCCTTCTTCACTTCCTATTTCTTTATTTTTATAGTAGACCCTTTAGCATTTCTTGCATTGCTGGTTTGGTGGAGATAAATTCCTTCAGTCTTTTTTTGTCTGTGAAGCTCCTGATTTCCCCTTCAATTTTGATTGATAGCCTTGTTGGGTACAGTATTCTTGGATTCAGACCCTTCCTTTGCATGACTTTGTATATTTCATCCCATTCCCTTCTGGCCTGATAAGTTTCTGTTGAGAAATCAGTTGCTAGTCTGATGGGGGTTCCTTTGTATGTAACTTTCTGTCTCTCTCTGGCTGCTTTTAAGATTCTTCCTTTGTCATTGTTGTTTGCCAATTTAATTATAATGTGCCTTGGAGTCTCTCTTCTGGGATTCATTTTGCTTGGGACTCTGCGAGCATCTTGGATTTGTGTGGGTTTTTTCTTCTCTATTTCAGGAAAGTTTTCTGTCATTATTTCTTGAAATACTTTTTCCATGTCTACCTCAGTTTCCTTTCCTTCTGGAACCCCTATTATTCGAATATTATTTTGTTTTGTATTGTCCCAAAGCTCCCGTAGGCTCTCCTCCTGCTTTTTAATCTTTTTTTCCAGAAGCTGCTCTACTTGGGTATTTTTTTCCATCTTATCTTCTAGCTCACTGATGCGGTCCTCTGCTTCATCTAGTCTACTCTTGATGCTTTCTATTGAGTTCTTCATGGTAGCGATGTCATTTTTCATTTCTCCTTGGTTCTTCTTCAGTTCCTCATGGCTCTTCTTCAATTCCTCATGGATCTTCCTCATTTCTTCTTGGTTATTGTCAAATTTCTCTTCCATTCTTTTTAGCCATCCTATGATCATTATTCTGAATTCTTGCTCTGGTAGGTCTCTTACCTCGGGCTCGTTTACTTCCTTTTCTGGTGATGCCTGCTTTTCTTTCATGTGCGGACTATGTTTTTGTCTCCCCATGGCCTCTCTTCTCAGGATGTCTGGTTATGTGGTGTTCCTTCTCCTGCGTTGATTTAAAGTTTCAAAATACAACACTACCTTTCCGTGGGTGACCAAAGAACTCCCCCGATTCCACGCGCCCGTGCCGATTCGGGCGTCTCAGCTGCTCGATGGACCTCCCGGCTGTGTGTTTTTCCAGGCCTCAGGGATGCTCCTCCTTTTGGACCTATTTTATTGTTATATCCTTTGAAAAATGGTATTGATGGTTATCTCATGATGCAGTTGGGGGAGTTAATATACATTTGAAACAAAACAATTTTTATTTTATGCACAAATTCTTTCGTTTTGTGCTGCAATTACATACTTACTTGCTTTACCCTTACTGAGGGATAGAAGATAACTTTTTTTCTTTTTAAAAAAATATATTTTATTGATCTTTTACAGAGAGGAAGGGAGAGGGACAGAGAGTTAGAAACATTGATGAGAGAGACATCGATCAGCTGCCTTCTGCACACCCCCCACCGGGAATGTGCCCACAACCAATGTACATGCCCTTGACCGGAATCGAACCTGGGACCTTTCAGTCTGTAGACCGACGCTCTATCCACTGAGCCAAACCGGTTTTGGTAGAAGATAACTTTTAATTTGTCTTCTTGAACACTTAGTGCAATGTCCCATACACATAAAAATTTTGTCATTCATTCCACAAATGTTGGTTGAACACTGTTCATGTACCACTCTCCTGGGTTCTATGTTTACTATCCCAACTTGGATTGATAAAATTTTGCTAAATTGCCCCTCCAATTGTATTGTATTTACTATGCATTCAACTTTCAGATAACACTGAAAAATGCATCTTATTCCTCTTTAGTAGTGCCTGGAGGTTTACCTGAGCCTACAGTGTGTGATTAAATAGGACAGAAAGATATACAGCACATGAGATGGTGTTAGTGACCATGGCCTACAACATTCCACTGAATACACATGTCCATTGTGGTCCTCAAAGATGTGAATTTTGTTTATTTTAAAGTCTTCTGATTCATTAGTCTGAGAATCCCTGAGAATAACAGCTTTGTATTTTTTTCCTTTGCATTTCCCTCTGTCTTCAGAAATAGTTCTGAGATGAATTAATGAATGCTCAATAAAGTAATTATTGATAAGGGGAAATAGTGGAAAGGAGGGTAAAATGGAAACTATTGTAATTAACTCAGTTATTAATTAAATAACAGAAAAGGAGCAAAGGAAAGACCAGATAATATAGGCATTACATTAGTGTTAGAAAGCATTTGACATTCTACAGGTCAGTTTGCCACAGATCCCAGGGGAAGGGACTGGACAAAGAAAGAATAGATGCATGTCCAATAAGTTCTAAATGATGAAGGGAAGGTGATTATCTGTCAGTCACACGTGGGAGCAGGTCATTGGCCAGAACAGGCTTGGCCACTGCAAGGGTGGGAAATCTGAGATACATAAGCTCCTAAGAAAGAGAGTTCTCTCTCTTGACCCTCTTCTTGTAGGTGGTGTGCTCCCATGCATTCACCCACATGGCTCACAGCCATGTGGACCCCCACACAAAAGAGACTGATGAACTAAAATTAATCTGATACCCTGCTGGACTCAACTCCATCATAGAATGGAAACACTGGACACTGGCTTTGCTTTTAGCTCTGCTGAATCCCCAGCTGCACATTTTCCAGATCTGATAGAAAATGGGACTTTGAAAATCAAGGGATATAATTCTATGCAAATAAAACTTTCTACCACATATCATCCTTATGTGGGTATTTTTTATAGCAGCACTTCCCTTCTCAGTACCAAATTACTATCTTAATCTATTTGGGCTGCTGTTACAAAACTACTATAGACTAGTGGCTTAAACAACAAACTTTTATTTTTCACAGTTCTGGAGGCTAGTAAGCCCAAGATCAAAGTGCTGGCCTATCCCTCTTCCAAAGGGCCTTCCTCCAAATACCATCACATTGGGGTAATTAATTCATACATTTTGGAGGGAATAAAAACATTCAGTTTATAGCAAAGACTTAATCACAAGTCCAAAAATAAAACAATATTTTATTATAAGCCACTAAGTGGCCTACTCTCCAGAAGGTGTGTCTCTCTCAGCCTGGCCTATACCCTCTCCAATCTGGGACCCCTAGGAGGATGTCCAATTGTGGGTTTAGGCCTGATCCCACAACCAGCAGCCAAACATCCCTCTCATAATCCAGACCACTGGCTCCTAGCTGCTCACCTGCCTGCCTGCCTGATCTCCCCTATCCACTCTTCTTGCCAGCCTGATCACCCCCAACTGCACCCCGCCTTGCTGCCTGATCACCCCTAAATGCCCTCCTGCTGATCTGATTGCCCTCAACTGCCCCTCCACCGGCTTGCTCATCCCCAACTACCCCCCTGCCAGCCTGATTGCCCCCAACTGCACCCTCATGCTGGCCTGCTCACCCCCAACTGCCCCTCTGCCAGCCTGATTATTTTGGATCACCTCCCCTCCTGGCCTGATCGCCCCTAACTGCCTCTGCCTCAGCCCCACCACCATGGCTTTGTCTGAAAGATGTCTGGAAGGTCTCCTGGTCTAATTAGCATATTACCCTTTTATTACAATAGTATAGGTTATATTTATTTAAAAATCAAAAACAATATGAGAAAACATTTCAGAGAATACTTTTCAAAATTAATCTGACCTATTTTATACAATAAAATATCATTAAGAAAGATAGAAATAATATTAACTATAGTATAAAATATGATATTCTTTCTTAAAGAAAGAGTAATTATAGTAACTGTAAGATACAAGTTAATACCACAAAAACTTAGAACAAAAATTAAAAATGTCATAGGGTAAAAATATATATATATATTTTTTTAGTATTATACAGCAGGTCCTGAAATGGGTATAAGCAAGTAAAAATGAACATTTTCTGAATACAATTTTATGTTCTATAGAAAATGTTAGACATTATTATAAGAAACAATATATATGTGTAAGAGTACAACTGCATTTTCAAATACAAGGTAATTAGTATTTTAGAAAGCAGCAGTTTTTCAATTTTTTTTTAAAGCTAGCAGTCATGCATAAAAATGAACATTACAAGAAACTGAGTAGACAATTTTTGCCATGAAAAGATGAATATAATTAAAAACTTAGGCAGCTTTCTTTCACTTCAATAAGAATTGTGGGTAAAGACCGTAATATCAGAATAACCAAACCTAAGAACACTCAGCTTATTATTATTATTATTATTTTAATAAGAAGCAGAGGAACACATTCCATTCTATGTACTGTATGTACTGGCTGTGTTAAAAAGACACACAGTACATGTCCAGATAGGCTGCTAAAGTGCAATAAAAGCAAGTGGATTTATCACAGTGTAGTCATTGACATAGCATGTTGTTAATTAGTTAAAACAAATAAGTACAATTATACTTTAACTATATTGATCTTATATACTTATCCTTTGTTTATTGTTTTATTATCTTTGCATAGATACAAATTTATCTATTAAAAAGAAGCAAAACAATAGTAAGCAGTGTCAAAATGTATAGTACTTGTTTTTATAAAGTGCTACTCAGACTGTCACATTTTAAAATTTGAAAACAAAACTCCAACTCTTGCCTTTCAAACAGCACATTTTTTATCAGGAATATTCTTTAAAGAAAAAAGTTATCTCCTCTGTTACATCAAAGGAGATACAAAGATTCCATAGGCAGTCTTAGAAATTTGGCTGAGAATATTTTATATATAAAGGCATCTGTGACCAAAATAGGTTAAAAATATTAAATATAATCTTTTTTATAAGGGCACTGATATCTCTAAGTTGCTAAGAAATCTAGAGTAGCTGTGGCCCTGGTCACCTTTTTTTCCCCGGATAGTCTGACCTTGTTTTCATATATAAGGCAGTTCCTAACTGTCCATGAACAAGGGGACAGGCATGGAAAACATAAACCTTATGATAAAAATGTTTTATTTGATAATAAAATCAAGTTTTCCATTGAAACTTTTATAAATTTTGCAAAATGAAGCATTGATACATGTGCACGGATAAAATGTTCTTTGTACAATAAAATAAAATATTTCTGCCTGCCTTCCTTTTTTTTTAAGATGAAGGATATTGTTCTTTTCACCTCGAATCAAATTTGTTGTTGGTGAGAGATTATGTTGATGACAATTACCTATTAATGTGAGAACTCTGAGATTCATTTTCCACTGTCTTATGTTAAAGTGTTTTTCAGCTCATCATATCTACATTTACTTGGTTAATGAGTTAAAGCTTTTTCAGGATGAACTCATAGTATACCAAGTAGACAACGAGACAGATTCTCAGCTTAAATGCACATTAGACTGTATTCTTACACTCTCAGGCTGCCTGTTGGAGCTAACATGAAATAAAAGTAATCTGCAAAAGCAAATAATTGAGGGTTAACTGTAAGACCAATCCAACTTTTCTAACTTTTTAAAAACCCATAAATGCTGATTTTCTTTGTCCATCTATCTTGATGAACGTTGTGGTGATCTTTCAAAGTACATGAAGTCCTGAAGTTGGAAAAAGAGAGAGAGAGGGAGAGAATTATGTATATTAATACATAAATAATTTGATGTAATGCATAAAATATTATCCTTTATAATTTACCTTGAAATCCTCCTGGACCAGTTAAAAAATCTGATAAATCTTTATAAAGAGGACTTAATATAAAGAGTAGCAATTACATACTTAAAACTGTTGGTAGTCAATACATTCTCCATTTGAGATACTAATTAAATTTTTATTGTTAAAGGAAAAAATACTTGATAATCAATATTAAATATGCTAAATATACCAACTGCAATATATTAGTGAGATATTTCAGGTAAATATTATTAATTTTATTTCTATGCTTTACTTATGACTATTAACCACTAATTAGAAATGCAATAAGGGGACTGCACCTAATAAATCTAAGGATAGTATAACACCAAGCAGTACACTGACAGAGAGACAGTGAGGTAGAGGAAAAGAACATCAGCTTTAGAGATATTTTATTTCATTAAGAAGTCATAGGATAGGCTTTAAAAAATACCTATTTATAATAATATAGCATTCTTCCGGACAAAGTTGGGGCTGTGAGGGGAAACCAGGTCCCAGGTGCCTGCTGGTGGCCGGAGGGAAGCCAGCATCAGCAGCCAGGGGAAGGAAGGCCTACTCTTGCACTTAGAACAGGTAATTATCCTATATAATAAAAGCCTAATATGCATCGGGCCTCTAATATATATATTAGACAGATTCTGTAATATATATATATATAAATATATATATATTTATATAAATATATTTATATAAATATAAATAAATACATAAATATATATAAATATAAATATAAAATATATATATATATAAATATATATTTATATATATTTATATATAAATATATAAATATATAAATATATAAATATAAATAAATATATATAAATAAATATATATATATTTCAGTGAAGAAGGGAGAGGGAGAGAGAGAAATACCAATGATGGGAGAGAATCACTGATTAGCTAGGGATTGAGCCAGCAACCTGGGCATGTGCCCTTGACCAGAATTGAACCTGGGACCCTTTCGTCCCCAGGCTGACACTCTATCCACTGAGCCAAACCAGCTAGGGCAGATAGGCTTTTTTAAGTAGTAAAAATAATCAATTACATGCAATGATGATCCCATTGGATGCCTAATACCTTCAAAGCACTCTCTTGCCCCATTATTCATATGGTAGTTAACATTTATAACCTTGAAAAAATAAGTATTTTTATCTTTATTTGATAGACAAGGAGATTGAGGCTTGCAAGTGCTAAACACTTTACAAAACATGCAACTAGTAAAGTGGAATAAACAGAACTTGGACTAATTTCAAAGCTATTGCCTTTCTACTACACTACTTCTTATCAGAAAGAATAATTGTCTCAAGATAACTCAAAAGCAAAAGGCTTACAATAAGGAAGCAAGCTCCAAAAATCATAGCTTTCATCTTCACATCCAGGTCTAATGGGAAGTGAATGTCAAAGTGGTCAGCATGGCCCATGGCTGATATTAAACCATTCCACTTTCTAATAATACTGCCGATGTTAGAGACACCATCGATGGCTTTGACCTAGGAAGATAAGAATTAGACTTTTTGGTAACTAATACTGTGTAGCTTACACTTCTCAGGCCAGTGCTCTTCTTCATCCTCAAATGAGTTATTAGGAAGGTATGACTTGAACTGATTTTGAAGTTCTTCTCCACATAACAAAGGGTGGGAATTAGGGGTTTGAAAGGGAATTTCTTCTAGTCTAGGGAAGCACGAAGCATGGTTCTGTGCACTTCACAAACTCCATATAATCACTTAAACTTACATGTGACAAACAAATCAATCTTTTTAAATTATGCCAGGATCCCACAGGCCTTCAGCTTCTATCATATAAGGGAAACACTGACACTTGCCAGAGGAAAAGCAGTCAGACACTGACTTTCAGTGATCAGAATGATCCCACACTTCCTGACCCTGAAATCTGGCTTATCTATATATTTTTTTATTTTTCCACATAGTCTTTTAAAAAATAAGCAATGCTTGATGACATTGTAAGATAACCTGAGAACTAAGAGAAGTTTATTTAGTATCATGGGCAATACTAGAAAGAGCAATTTTAGAAGATGAACCTTGCTGAATTACAAGACATTCAGAAAGAATTCCAAGAAGATCAGAAAATATTTCTAAGCATTTCCTTTGTCAGATTCATAGGATTATAAGCAATCATTTTGTATCCATAGAGATAAAAGGAAAAACAAAAGGATTTTTCTTTTTCCTGAGAAAATGTTATAGCTATGAGTTTTATCTATGTTATCAGCATTGTCCTGTTTCCTAAGGACATAGACTTCTATTCTGCAAATAAGCAACATGCGTAGCCTCGGGGGCCACAGAGTCTGTGAGAAGGTGGGCACTATCATTCCTCAGGACATATTTTCTGATCTTGGAAATCTTTGGTAAAAAACAGTTAATTAAATAGAACCAAGAATAAAATAGATTTATGTCAGGCTACTTACTCTTACGATTAATATTTTAATGTTTTCTCTTATCTTTATAAAACACTAAAGTAATTTTTAAAAAATCTTACATTTTAGAAAACATTAAGCAATCCATTAACAATAATTTGAAAATCACATAATGTCAACCAATTAACTCCTCATATTAATTTACTGATTCACATGAAAAATGATCTAAATCAAATCATTCTTAAATCTGTTAGAACATGCAGAAAAAATGGAAGAAATGTTATTTTTATATTTGTTTACCTCAAACACAGAATCTGAGCCACAGCCATAGGTTGAGCATGGCCCACGGACGCTCAACACATTTTCTTTCTTCTCATTTTGGATGCTGTACACCGCCCGGCACAGGTTCCAGTGGTCCATAACAAAGCCAATGGTGATGCCAGGAGGACACTGCACCTCTAGCTGCAAGGGAAGCATGACAGAGGGGAAGATGTTTTATATGTACTAGAGGCCCAGTGCACAAAATTCATGCATGGAGGAGGGTGTACCTTAGCCCAGCTTGCACCCTCCTCTTCAATCTGAGACCCCTCGGGGGATGTCCGACTGCCCTTTTAAGGATCACGCCAAAACAGGAAGTCAGATATACCTCTCTCAACCAGGACTGCTGTCTCTCAATTGCTCATCTGCCTGCCTTCTTGATTGCCCCTAATCGCTTCTGCCTGCCAACCTGATCACACCCTAACTACACCCCTGCCAGGCTGATTGATACCTACCTGCTCCTCTGCCAGCCTGTTTGTGCCTAACTACCCTCCCCTGCAGGCTTGGTCATCCCTAACTTCCATCCCCTGCAGGCCAGGTCCCCTCCACTGCTCTCCCCTGCAGGCCTGGGTTCCCCTCAACTGCCTTTTCCTACAGGCATAGTCACCCCAACTTCCCTCCTCTGCCAGCCTGGTCACCACTAATTGCCCTCCCCTGCAGGCTTGATCGCCACCAACTGCCCTCCTTTGCAGGCCTGGTCCCCCTCAACTTCCCTCCCCTGCTGGCCATCTTGTGTCCACATGGGGATAGGATCTTTGACCACATGGGGGAAGCCATCTTAGGTGATGGAGTGATGGTCAATCTGCATATTACTTTTATTAGATAGGATAGAGGCCTGGTGCAAGCCTCCCTCCTGCTCACTCTGTGGCTGCAGCCATCTTGGTTGGGGTTACTTTGCATACTTGCTCTGATTGGCTGGTAGGCTTGGCAGAGTGATGGTTAATTTGCATATTACCCTTTTATTAGATAGGATAAATACACATACACAAAACCCAGATGTAGCCTTAATCCATTTGAGGACTGTTACTCTGAAACTGTCTTTCATTTTACTTGGTTATTTCTTAGGCTTGTATTTCAATGAACAGCCTTGAGAAATAAGGTCACGATTCCCTCTGAGACAAAGTTACTAACTGTATAATGGCCAGTTCTCCAAGCTTGGTGTCCTCAGCTGTATATGTAGCATCTCTCTGGGCTGCTCCGAGTCAACCCCGTAGAACTTGGGGATAAGGGAACCTGCATAAATATGCTAATGTTCACGCTGCTTTATGTGATTTAACAAAGATCATATGTTTTATCTAGGTGTCTTACATCTTATGGCAAAATACACAGAAACAGTAACAAACCAACTTCTTAGTTTACATGTCAGACATAACAACTATAAAAGAAAACAAACCAGAAAAGAAACATTCTGAACACTGTATGTTGGGAAAGTAGCAGAATGTGTTATGGGTTTATAAAACCATTTTAAAAAGAGTTCTAAATGTTGTCCAATACTCTCGACTAATTATCTTTACAATATTCCTTTGGGAAGAACTAAGATCTTCATATTTAATAATATCAAGATTCGCAAAATTAAATTATCTGTTAAAAGACCAAAGGAAAAGTTCTGGTGATTTTCCTGGTGTTTTATATACTTTTCTAAGACTTTTGTGTCCCTTGCATATCATCATAGGGCAAGACCTTCATGAATTGTCAAATTAAGATATTATTGTTCATATATATAAAATCACACACATATACAAACATATATATTTGATAGCTTCCTGGGAGCGAGCTCTCATATAAGTTTAGTGTTGAGATTAAAAAAAAAGTATATACAAATAAATTAATTTCATAAGAATCCATATCATTCAACCATAAAAGGAATGAACTATTAATACATGTCACAACTTGTATGAACCTCAAGGTAAATTATGTTGAAAAAAACTAGTCCTAAAAGGTTCCATACTGTATGATATTCTTGAAGTGACAGTGTTAGAGAGTGGGAATTTTTGAGCATGCTTCCTCCTAGTCGACTTGGCCATAAATCCCAACTACAACTCACAAAATAGCCTATGAGAACAGGATGCCAGTGAGCCTTACAGGATAGATCATTGTCAGTTTTCTTGAGAACAGGAGGCTAGTAAGCCTTATAAGATAGATCACTGTCAACTTTCCTGAGAATGGGATGCAGTTACTTACTCCACCAGGTGCCAGGACCCTGTAAATAACATGCTGACATTACTTAAGAAAAAATGCTTTGCTTTAAATTGTTTGCTCTGCAAAACAGGATGTAGTGAATGTGTTTAAAAACTGTCCTTCACAAAGGGTCAGGGCTTCTCTCTGGACTCACTCCCTGGAGAGAGAGCAGATGCCGGCCGGCTATTAAAGGCTCCCTAAATTTTAATTTGGTTTGGACTCCAGTGGTCATTTATTCGAATTCGCTCCACAACAACAGTTGTAGAGATAGGGAACAGATTAGTGGTTGCTAGGGTTAGGGATGAATAGAAGAGAGGGAGGTAGGTGTGGTTATAAAGAGTTTTATATGGTAATAAAACTTTCGTATTTGAATTGTGGTGGTGGATACAGTAATCTATATAGCCGATAAAACACACATGCACATGTAAACTAGTTTACACACACATGCACATGTAAACTAGAGAAATCAGAAAAAAATCTAGATAATGCTGTGGGACAAAAATTCCATACACTGGACTAAGGCTGTAATACTGATTTGTTTTACTGTATCCTGCCCTTATAGGTTTTGATTTACAAAGCCCAACTCATAAATACATACACAGAAAAAACACACAATTCTTACTAAATAAAAGCATCAAGGATAAGAGATGGAAATTCAACTCAAATATAAGGACACACACAAACAAACATGACAGAAATTATAAAAACGTAAGATATCTGACAATAGCTAATATCCATTGAGCACTATAATAATTGTAAGCACTGTGCTAAGAAAATGACGTTTACTTACTAGTTAATCCACAAAACAATCATACCATGAGATAGGTGCTATTTTTAAATATATATTTTATTGATTTTTTTTACAGAGAGGAAGGGAGAAGGAGAGAGAGAGAGAGAGAGTTAAAAACATCAATGAGAGAAACATCAATTCAGCTGCCTCCTGCACACTCCCTACTGGGGATGTACCCACAACCAAGGTACATGCCCTTGACTGGAATTGAACCTGGGACCCTTCAGTCTGCAGGCTGATGCTCTATTCACTGAGCACAAGAGATAGGTGCTATTAATATCTCCATTTTATAGGTGAATAAGTCAAAGCACAGAAAGGGCTGTATATCAATTACTATAGTAAATGCTGTACTTATCATTTAAATACTCCATTAATCAAGGGGCTATTGTTTTGCCCAGTGTACAACACTAAGGTTCAAAGACATTAAATTGTCCAAATTTAAGTAGGTGGCATACATAAAATTCAAGTTCTCTTGGACCTCTCTCTAAAACTGCTTTTATTTCCCTGTAGCAAACAACTTTCCTAAACTAAATTGACTGTAGAACAGTAACCAAACTAACTCAGAACATCTGCTTTTCAGTTTCAGCACCACTGTCCACCATGTGCAACACCATTAGCAGGCATATCAGCAGGTGTAGGTTGTGATGGGTAGAGTAAAAGTATCTAAAGGCGCAATCAATTCTAAAAGTACTAGAGGCCTGGTGCACGAATTCATGCATGGGTGGAGTCCCTTGGCTTGATCGGCAATCGAGATATATTGAGAGAAAAGGGGACTGGCCAGTTGTGGGGAGGGACCACAGGAGGTTGGTCTGCTGGAGGGACTGTGGAAAGTTGGCCAGCCAGCTGGAGGGTGGTAAGAGGGGCCATGGGAGGTTGGCCAGCTGGTCTGGGGAAGGAGCTGTGGAAGGTTAGCTGGCCTGGGGGAGGAGCCATGGACCATTGGCTGTGGGAATGCACTGACCACCAGGGGGTAGCTCCTGCATTGAGTGTCTGCCCCCTGATGGTTAGTGCATGTCACAGCGACTGGTTGACCGGTCTTTCTGGTCATTTGGTTGTAATGCTTGCTTAGGCTTTTATATATATATATATATATATATATATATATACTAGTAGCCCTGCACATGAATCCGTGCTCCAGTAGCTTGCTGCGGCCCTCCAGTAACTCTTTGCCTGTTGCCCAGCCCTCCTGTAGCTCCCACACACCCTTTCACAGCTTGCTGCCCTGCCCCCTCCTATAGCTCTCTACTGCTTGCTTTTAACTAGCAGCTCGCTGCTGTCCTCCTGTAGCTCTCTGCCTGCTACCCCGCCCTCCTGTAGCTCCCTACGCCCCCTCCCCCAATCTCCCTACCTTATAGCTTGCTGCACTGCTCCCTCCTGTAGCTCTCCACTGTCCACTTGTAGCTTACTACCCCACCCTCCTGCCGTTCTGTGATCTGGTCATTACATGGTCTGTCGCATATTATATCTTTATTATATAAGACTAATAGATATGTTTACATTTAGCATAGCTTATCTGGAAACATTTAGGTAAATGTGTGACTCCTGTTTTAGGTGATAGGTAAACTTCTAAATTCTATTAGGCACAGCTCATAGAATTGTGGTCACTGAATAAATAATTTTGCTTGACCCACCCATTGGCATTAAAGAGCATAAACTGACAGAAAAAGTCCTTTGTTATTTGTCTGAGGTGAGACAATTTGGTTTTCTCTCTTCTCACTGCACTGCTGCATTCTGACTGGCAGGGCCAGTGGAATGCCTCCCCCCCACCCCCCCACCCCTGCAGTTTTGGAAAGAGAACAGCCGTGTGTGAATAAGTGGATCAGAAAGAAATAATGGATTAGACTTCCATTCTTTAACCTCTTGCCTGGTGGAGGGACAACAGAAGCAACAGCAGGTGCATCTGAAGGGTCTCTGCATTGTCATGATTTCTCGGCCCATAAAGTCAGAGACCCGGAGGACAAAGGGCCTTAGTGTCCGGTAAGCATTCCTGGTAAAGTCGTCCGTGTCTTCAGTTACAATGTACACCATCTGGTCCAGGTTGTTTTTAATATCATATTTATTATTAGTTTCAAAATGTGTTATCACTGAAAAATAAAATGAGGAAATTGTCTTACATTAGAAGTAGTTAAAGTGGGTCTCAAAAGGGGGAATAAGAGATATAAACTTTCAATTATTAAAACAACAACAACAACAACAACAAAAGTAGCCAAAACCGGTTTGGCTCAAGGTCCCAGGTTCGATTCCAGTCAAGGGCATGTACCTTGGTTGTGGACACATCCCTACTGAGTGGGTGTGCAACAGACAGCTGATTGATGATTCTCTCTCACTGATGTTTCTAACTATCCTTTTCTCTTCCTCTCTGTGAAAAATCAATAAAATATATATTTTTTAAAAAGTTATAGGGATGTAACATACAGAATAGGAAATAGTCAATAATGTCGCTGAAAGCGGTTTGGCTCAGTGGTAGAGCGTCCGTTTGTGGACTGAAAGGTCCCAGGTTCGATTCAGGTCAAAGGCATGTACCTGGGTTGCAGGCACATCCCCAGTAGGGGGTGTGCAAGAGGCAGCTGGTCAATGTTTCTCTCTCATCGACGTTTCTAGCTCTCTATCTCTCTCCCTTCCTCTCTGTAAAAAATCAATAAAATATATTTTAAAAATAAAATAAAATAATGTCCTAATAACTTTGAATGGTGATGGAAGATAACTAGATTTATTCTGGTGATCACATTATAAGAAATATAAATCACTATGTTGTACAACTGAAACTAATATATTACATGTCAACTATACTTTAATAAATGTAAGTCCTTTTAGGGGCTTAAAACAGAATAGCTTTGATAAAATTTCAGGTAAAATATGTGTAATTGACTAGAATGTTAAAATAATTTGTATACCTTATAAGTATTTAAGTAATTTTAAAACTTTGAAACATTTATTTTAAGAAGTTCAGTGTAAAGTGATTTTTAAAGCTTTTCCATGTGAGCAAAGATTGAAACAATATTCCTAGAGTACTTAAATTCAGAAAAAATAATTAACAACCATATAAGTGAATAAGACATTGGGGCTAGAACTTAGATAACAGTGGCAGAGCTGCAAATCTGCTAACTATGATGCCTCTAACTAACTAATTTAAATTCTGGCTCCTTCTTTTTCTCATCCATGAGAAGTTAACATGCAGGAGCTGGGATGGGTAGAGGTAGTGCCATTTTGTCCAGATAAAATATAAATCTTTGCAAAAGTCTAAAACTTACATATGATCTATAAATATATAAAATTATCCAATTGTTTCATTACTTTCCTGAGAAGAGGATATCCTTTTCTCTTTGAGGAACTAAAAAGTGGTCAATATAAATAAGGAAATAAACATTGGATAATGGGCATTTCCACCTGGTTCAGATACTGCCAATCACTACTGAATTAATTATATCAATACATACTTTCCAAAGGTTCAAAATGCTGAAGAACATGTATGTTGTCCAACTGTTGGGATAAAAAAAGTAATTAGGAGAGCTAGAAGTAACAGAATTAAAGCATTAGAAATTAAACTGATGAGATAAGTATTAAAATAGATTGATAGCAAAATATATTTTTGAAATAGAATTGAATAAAAAACATTTTGATAAAGTGGAATCAGCTCATGTACATTTAACTAGGTGATTACTAGAGCTATGGAGATAGGAAAAACACTTTTCTCCAGTTCCACTGCAAGAGACTGGTACACTTGTCTAAAATATCAGAAAACCACCTTCCACCACAGTAACAGTATTAGAAGCAGCTGAGCTGATACATGTTTTCCCTAGCTCAGTTCCTACTCAGTCTCTCTAGCATACCACTCAGACTAGAGGTGTGCAGGAACTTCAGGACCTTTGGACAAGGACCAGCCATAGAGAAAGACATTTTCTCAGTGGCTTGGGAAGATTGAATCAGCCAGGGTGGATTCCGCTCCACACAGGAGTGTCCAATTTTATAACATTTTCCAGGTACTTCTGAGAGATTAACATACTGCTTTCCACTAGTTTGAGCTATTAAACGCTAAGACCTCCCTAGGTGCACACTTTAATTCTGGGAGGGTCTGAGAGGACAGGAAGCACATGAATGGACAGGATGAGGGCAAAGGAGAAGAAACTTTCTGGGATGGGATCTCTTCAAAAGGGAGGTTGGGAATGCAATTAAATAAATGTCTAATTTCACTTAGGAATCACTCTAAAGAGACACAGTTAAATGGGCCCATTCTAAGTTATAGTTGAGAACATGGTAACAGAAGAGAAAAAACTCCTTGAGGACAGACTGATTATGTCTATACAATTTTATATATTATAGATAAGACCATTCCAAATCCCTGAGTCTAGAACACTGCCTGAAATGCTACATTTCACCAAATATTTATTGAATACATTAACTAATGAAAAATACATAAATGTGATTAATAAATAAAATATAAAATTATAACTTGACATTAATGTTTTCAAGTGATTGTTTATAGGAGGGTATAGAGCAGTGGTTCCCAACCTTTTTTTAGCTATGCCCCACATAAGCATCTCTAAAATTCTGATGTACTCCCTGTGAAATATAATTCTTATTATTCAAAAAGTGAACTATTCATGTGGAGGAAGCTTAAAAAGCCATTAACTTGGTTTAAACAAGCTTCCAAAGAACATGGCATCCATGAAAGAGAAAAATAAAAGAAAGAAAGGACAGCTGAAGTATTAAGGAAGAAATCACTAAGAAATTGTTTAAAAAATTAATATGAAGTGATATGAAAAATACCAAATAAAGTTTCAAAACATATGGGAACTGAAATGCATTAAATGTCACAATATATACTTATATATTATATATGAGGCCCCTCGAACCATAAATGCAAAAAAAATTAATTGTTAATTCATTCTCAAATTGCCCCCCCTTAAAAATCAAATTGCTCCCCTTTAGCACATTGGGAACCACTGGTAGAGAGAGAACATAATCCTTCCTTCATTCAAAACTTTTTTTGTATGAAAACAAAATCAGGTGAGGGGTTTAAACATGTTTTAAAAATATCAAAAGTGACCACTATGGTGATGGCACCTTAAAAAATCTAGAAAGGTGCCCTAATGGTTTGGCTCAGTGGACAGAGTATAAACCTGCAGACGGAAGGGTCCCAGATTCTATTCTGATCAAGGGCATGTACCTTGGTTGCAGGCACATCGCCAGTAGGGGGTGTGCAGGAGGCAGCTGAGTCGATGTTTCTCTCTCATTAATGTTTTTAACTCTCTATCCCTCGCCCTTAGTCTCTGTACAAAAGAGACACACAAAACAAAACTAGAAAGTTAAAATCTAGTATTAAGTAAAAATATTCACTGTATGATAAAAGCACCCACTGTTGAACAAAATTTTCTAAGGACATGACATCCATTAATGTGGAAGAAGTTTGGCCAATAAGGTAGTATGGCTGTTAAGAAACAACACTCAAACAAACTGGTGGAGTGATGGGCTATGCCAATACTCTAGAAATAACATAATCCTGCTACTTTAAATGCTACAATATTGATAGTCCTGATAAAGATTCATGTGATCTGCAAATAAGATGGCAGAAAGGGTAAGATGAATAAAATGATAAAGAAGATGATGGGACAAACACAAATACAAAAAAAAAAAAATCAAACAAACAAAATCAACCAACCAAACAAACAAGAAGATGAAGGGCTCTATGTCTTCTGCTCACATACAAGGTATTTTAACTAATAAATTCACATAGCTATCATCTATTGGGTGGGCCCTGTGTGCCAAAAATATTAGGCACATTACAATCCTATTCAAGGTTGTATAGTAAGGGCTAGAATTAAAATCCAGATTTGTCTGGCTTCAAACCTGTTTTGTTTCTTTTTACTCAAAATATTCCTGAAAGGAAAAACAGAAATCATGAAATATGTTAATGTAACATTAATCAGAGTAATAGAAGAGAAAGTTTGTTTTTTGTTTTTTTTAAATCCTTTCTTGTTTGAAGTATTATATGGGTCTCTTTTTCCCCCCATTGACCTCTCCCTAGTCACTCCCACCCCCAGCACATGCCCTCACCCACCTAGTGTCTGTCCACTGGTTATGCTCATATACATGCATACAAGTCCTTTAGTTGATCTCTTACCCCTTCACCCACCACCTTCCCTCATAGGTTGGACAGTCTGTTTGATGCTTCTATGTCTCTGGTCCTATTTTTGTTCATCAGTTTATGTTGTTCATTTTATTCCTCAAATGAGTGAGATCATGTGATATTTATCTTTCTCTGACTGGCTTATTTTGCTTAGCATAATGCTCTCCAGTTCCACTCAATTTTCACAAATGGTAAAAAGTCCTCCTTTTTTACAGCAGCATAGTATTCCATTGTGTAGATGTACCATAGTTTTCTAACCCACTTGTCTGTTGATGGGCACTTAAGCTGGAGAAACTGTTTTGTCTTGTTTTTATATATATTTAAGTGAACAATATTGAAGCTATACATTTTCAAAAGAGAAATGACTCCAGATCTATGATTTCCAAGGACACTTTGAGTTAATTATCTTGTATAATAAAAGACTTTCCAAAACTGAGTAACTAATACACATTTTATAAGCTTCTCAAATAATACAGAGGTAGTTTAATCTACCACTTTACCTGAATGACTGGCTTTGTATTTTATCATTATTTTGCCAAAACAACAATTTAATAAAAATTTTGACTCATTTATAATACAAATTTTCCTGATCTAACTCTACTGACTTGCAAGAATCAATAATATTACATTGTAGCCATGGTTTCAATACAGAGGATTATCAAGGTCTTTTTCATTATATAAAAATGAAAAGAAACATATCAACTTAAAGGAGTATTTGGATGACTATATGGGAAGACAAGTATTTAATAGGCAATTTCCTTACTTGTAATGCATTCCCTTTTTCAAAAAGTAAAACATGACTCAGTTGTTTCTAAGGGACTGAAACAACTATCCCTAACCCTAAACCTAACCTTAACCCTAACCCTAGTTTCATCTTATTTTCATTAAGCAATCCTTTTTAGTTTTTGACATGGATTTTGAAACATAACATTTACTACAGCAACCTGGCAAGCTGCCATTTCTGATCTGGACATTCTGGTAACTCCAGAATGTCTACACAAGTGGAAATTAGAGAGTCGCTGTGCTTGAGAAGTGGTTCTTTGCAACCTGGCCTGAAGCCATATCTTTGATAGGTCCCCTATTTTTATTTACATTGCATGTTTTTTTGGTGGAAGAGGCATGGATGATGAAAGCTATGGGTGGTGAGAAAAGGAAATGGGCTAAGGCACTCAATAACTCATTCACTGTTTATTGTTCTGTTTTTTACTAACACTTTGCTTTTTTTTTTTTTTTTTTTTTAGTTAACTCTACTTCTTTGCAAATGACACTCTGATTAGGATCTCTGTTAGTTTTTCTTATATTCATATTCCTACATTTTAAACTGCCTTTGACAGGGCTTCATGAATGTGTTAAAATTCAACATATATCCTTTAGAAAAACCATATTCATCCCTCCAAAAACACTTCCACTCTCTGACCTCCTTTCACATTTCTAAAATTAGTACCATCACTCTTAGTCTCACAAATTAGATTTCTGTTATCACTAGTCTGTTACTTTACCCACTCAAATTTAGTCTTTTGTGTCTTATTGAATCCTCAGTCATACTTCATTAGAAAATATAAATTGGATTTGTGTAAAGTACCTGTTTTAAGTATTCCAGACCAGGAGGGCAGTCTGCCATAAGAGTTGGCCCTGGCATCCATATTATTGAAGCAGGCTTATTTGGCACTGGATAGTTGCCAGGCTGGTACTGGATAGGATGGGTACTACTAGTTGGCTGGCAATACGAGAAGGCACTGGGCTGCTGTGGATTATATCCCATAGGCAAGCCTCTTGGGTAGCCTGCAGGTGGAAAAACAGATGCTCCAGGGGGTCCTGTGTTAAAAAACAAATGAAAGTATTACATACCATTAACATGGCAATATATTGGAAGTTAGCATGACTTTTTACATGAAGATGTTATGGATCACATAACATCCACTTAGAAATAACAAGATGTTCTAATTTCTGAGTATGTACTATTGTACCAACACTGTTCTAATGGTATTGGGTATCAATGTATTTACCAGCAGTCCTCTTAAATCTTATGATACAATTAAGATGCCTGGTGCACAAAATTCATGCACTGGTGGCAAGGGCAGGGGGGAGAGGGAGAGGGGTGTCCTTCAGCCCAGCCTACACCCTCTCACAATGCAGAACCCCTCACTCCTTACCGCCCACATGCAGTGGAGGTGGTGGGAGAGACTCCCGCTGCCACCATTGCACTTGCCAGCTGTAAGCCTAGCTTCTGGCTGAGCGGCTCTGACCCTGTGGGAAAGGAGCACACTGACCACCAGGGGGAAGCTCTGCATTCAGCGTCTGCCCCTGGTGGTCAGTGCACGTCATAGCTGTTAGGTCAATTTGCGTATTAGGGTTTTATTATATAGGACTGTTCCTATTTCAGAGGTGTAGAAATAAGCCTGAAACATGAAGTAACATGTTAAACTATGCATTAAGTTTGTTCCTCCTTTGAATAAATCATATACCTACTGTAGTGCGATTACCACAAGACTAGCACATAATTAGCACTGTAAATTTCTGTTAAACCTCACAAAGATAGTAAGGTCTGCTTTAAAAGAGTATTTTCAATGACTGCTAGCTAATTCCAGAAAGCCTTCACCCCCCATTCCTATTAGCAGTCTCCTCCATCCCCACATCCCCTCCTCAGTTCCTGGAAACAACTGTCTCTACAGACTTGCCTAATCTAGATATTTCATATAAATGAAATCATATATCTAGACTTTGTGACTGGTTTCTTTCATTTAGTACCCATGTTGTAGCATTCTTTTTACCTTATTTTTTTATATTCAATTAATTTTTGATATATTGTAATGCTTGTTTTTGTTTATTGAAAAATAATTTACATGTAGTAAAAGTCACCCTTTCTTGGTATACAGTCAATGAATTTTCACAAACTTACACAATCAGGCAATTGCTGCCAAAATCAAGATACTGAACGATTCCAGGACCCCAAAAGTTTCCTTCAAACTGCTTTGTAGATCATCCCTTTAAAAAGAAAATTCTTTTTGTTTTACTTTTCATAGGCTACTAATATTTCACTGCATGGATATATCGCATTTTATAAGTCCATTAGTAATTTGATGGACATTTGGATTGTTTCTACTTTCTGGCTATTATTTTAAGTAACACTGCAGTGAACATTGGTGTACATATACATGTGTAGATATATACTAGTATATTACAGTTGGTGAATGGTAACTCCATGTTCAACTTTTTTAAGGAACTGTCAAACTATTTTCGAAAGTGGCTTCAAACTCCCAATAGAAGTGTAAGAGGGTTCTAATTTCTCCAAGTCCTCACTAATACTTATTATATCTTATTTTAGTTATTTTACTGAGTGTGAAGTGGTATCAATTGTGATTTCTTTAAAAATCTGTTTTTATTGATTTTAGAGAGAGAGGAAGATAAAGGGAGAGAGAAACATCAAGGGGAGAGGAACATCGATTTGTTGCCTCCTGCATGCCCCCTATTGGGGATTGAGCCTGCGACCTGGGCATGTGCTGATTGGGATTTGAATAGGTGACCTTTTGGTGCATGGGTCAATGTCCAACCACTGAGCCATACCAGCCAGGCTCCTATTGTTATTTTCCTGATGACTAATGATGATGAGCACCATTATATGTACTTACTGGACATATATTCTTTGGAAAAATGTCTATTCAAATCCTTTCTTAGCCTACATTAAAACTGAATCTCTTACTTTTTTGTTGTTGCATTATAAGTAGTTTATATATTTAGCATAAAAATCTCTTGCCTGATGATTTATAAATATTTTCTTTTTTATATTTTATTGATTTTTTACAGAGGAGAAGAGAGAGGGATAGAAAGCTAGAAACATCGATGAGAGAGAAACATCGATTAGCTGCCTCTTGCGTACACACACACACACACACACACACACGCGCGCTCACGCTCACCTTCGGGGATGTGCCCCCATCCAAGGTACATGCCCTTGACCGGAATCGAAACTGGGACCTTTCAGTCCGGAGGCTGATGCTCTATCCATTGAGCCAAACTGGTTTTGGCTATAAATATTTTCTAATTCTGTTAACTGCCTTTTCTCTTTAATAGTATTTTTTGACACACAAGTCTCAATTTTTATGAAATTCAATTTATTTTTCCTTGGTTGACTATGCTTTAGGTCTCATATATAAGAAATCACTGCTTAGTCCAGGTTATGAATACTTATACCTGTACTTTATACTAAAAGTTTTATACTTATCACACTCTTGCATGTATGCCTTTTATACATTTTTAGTATACCAGTATTGTGTGATATAGGAGTTCAAATTCATTCTTTTGTGGGTTGATATTCAGTTATCTCAGTACTATTTGTTGAAAATAAATTTCTTGCAAGGAATTGTTTTGGCACCTTTGTCAAAAATCAATTGGTCAGAGATGTTTGGATTTGTTTCTGGACTTTCAATTCTATCTTATTGATCTACATGGCAATCGTTATGCCAGTACCATATGGTCTTGACTTTGGTAGCTTTGTAGTAAGTTTGGAAATTGGGAGGCCAGTCTTCCAAATTTGTTTTTCCCCATCAAGGGTTATTCTGAGTGCTTTTTATTTCCATATGTACCTGAAGATTAGCTTGCCAGTTTCTTTAAAAAAAAAAAAAAAAAAAAAGAAAGAAAGAAAGAAAATAAAAGGCTACTGGGAAATTGTTTAAGAATTGTGTTGAAACTTCAGATCAATTTAGGGAGGGTTGCTACTTAATAATATTTAATTTTCAAATCTATATGGGATATCTTTCCATTTGCTTTAATTTCTTTTAACAATAGTTTTTTAAAAATATATTTTTATTGATTTCAAAGGGAAGAAAAGGGAGAGAGAGAATCAATGATGAGAGAATCATTGATTGGCTGCCTCCTGCACAACCCCTACTGGGGATTGAACCTGCAACTTGGGCATATGCCCTTGACCAGACTCGAACCCAAGACCCTTCAATGTGTAGGCTGATGCTCTATACCACGTGTCAAACACAAGGCCCGAGGGCCAAATCCGTCCCGCCAGGCCTTGCAATGTGGCCCGCACCGCGCTGTCATCACTGCACTCCGCTGCGTTTCCATCACAATGACAGTTTATGACTGTTCAGTAAACCATTCGGCTCGCGATTTAGGCTGGATTTTAGATTTTGGCCCCTTCTCTGATTGAGTTCGACACCCCTACTCTATACAATGAGCCAAATCAGGTAGGGCCAATAGTTTATTTCCAGTATATAAATCTCATATTTTTTATGTTATTATAGTTAGAATTATACAATTACTTTTTTGGGGCTTGCTCAAATTGCTCACACATAGAAATAGCAGGGGATTTTTGTATAATGATCTTGTATACTACTACATCGATGAACTCATTAATTAGTGCTATCTATGTGTGTTTGTGTGCATTTCTTAGGATTTTTTTGTATACAAGATCATCTCATCTGCTAATAGAGATAGTTTGCTTCTGTATTTCCAATCCAGATGACTTTTATTTCTTTTTCTTGTTTAATTACTGTGGCTAGAACACGTAGTAAAATGTTGAAAAGAAGTGACATGAGAAGACATCCTCTGTTCTTGATTGTACGGGGAACATATTCTACCTTTATTAACCACTAGAGGCCTGGTGCACAAAATTCATGCACAGAGGGTATATGTGTGTGTGTGTGTGTGTGTGTGTGTGTGTGTGTGTCTGTCTGTCTGTCTGTCGGCCCAGCCTGCACGCTCTCCAATCAGGGACCCCTCGAGGGATGTTCAACTGCCTGTTTAGGCCTGATCCCGGTGGGTTTGGGCCTAAACGGACAGTCAGACATCCTTCTAACAATCCAGGACTGCTGGCTCCCAACCACTCACCTGCCTGCTTGCTTGATTGCCCCTAACCATTTCTGCCTGCCAGCCAGATCACACTCTAACCACTCCTCTGCCATCCTGATAGATGCCTAACTGCTCCCCTGTTAGCCCAATTGCCCCTAACTGCCCTTCCCTGCTAGCCTGGTCATCCCTAACTGCCCTCCACTGCAGGCCTGGGCACCCCTGCCAGCCCTCCCCTGCCAGCCTGGTTGGCCCCAACTGCCCTCCCCTGCACACCTGGTCCCCCCAACTGCCCTCCCTGCATGCCTGGTCCCCCCCCAACCACCTTCCCCTGCAAGCCTGAGTCCCCCCCCTCCAACTGCCCTCCCTCAAAGGCCTGGTCCCCCCACAACTGCCCTCCTTTGCAGGCCTGGTCCCTCCCCTGCTGGCCATCTTTTGGTGGCCATCTTGTGTCCACATAGGGGCAACCATCTTTAACCACATAGGGGCAGCCATCTTGTGTTGCAGTGACAGTCAATTTGCATATTACTTATATTAGATAGGATAATTTCAGCTATAGGACTTTATAGATGCCTTTTCTCAGGTTCAGAAGGTTTCTTCTCATTCCTAGTTTGTTGATTGTTTTTATTATGAAGAATGGTTCATTTGGTCAAATGTCTTTTCTGTATCTATTGATGTGATCATATGGTTTTTGTCATAGATATATATCAAATTTTTAAAAACATTAAATTTATTGGGGTAAAAAAGGTCAATAACATAAGTTTTATGTGTACAACTACATAGTACATCATTTCTATATTCCACTGTATGCTCATTGCCCAAAGTCTAATCTCTTTCAGTTACCATATATGTGACCCCCAAGGAAGGGCAGTTGGGAGGGTCCAAGCCTGCAGGGGAGGGCAGTTTGGGGGGACAGGCCTGTAGAGGACAGTTGAGGGGGACCCAGCCCTGCAAGGAAGGGCAGTTGGGGGGACCCAGACTTGCAGAGGAGGGCAGTTAAAGGGACCTCTTCATCCTTTCTGCACTCTCTTTCCCCTCTTATAATCATCAAAATCTGGTCTGTGTCTGAATTTATTTGTTTTGTTTATTTGTTGCTTTTTGTTTTAGATGCCACATGAGTGAAATCATATGGTTGTTGTCCTTTGTTGTCTGCCTTATTTTTATTTATATCAATTAAATTTCATATGACAATCCAACCTTTCATTCTTTGGAAAAACTCCACTTGGTCATGGTGTACAGCCCTTCTTATATGTTGTTGTATTTGGTTGGCTAGTATTTTGTTGAGCATTTTTGGATATTAGTCTGTAGTTTTCATTTCTTATGATATCTTTGTTTGATTTTGCTAAGAGGGTAATACTTGCCTCATAGAATGAGTGGGAAAGTACCCACTACTCTTACTTCTTTTTAAGAGTTTTCAAAAGTTTAGTATTCAAATCTTCATTGCACCAACAGATCACCAGTTTGATTCCTAGTCAGGACACATGCCTGGGTTGTGGGCATGATCCCCAGCAGGAAGTGTGCAGGAGGCAGATGTTGATGTTTCTCTCTCATTGATGTTTCTCTTTCATTGATGTTTCTCTCTCTCTTTCCCTCTCCTACCCTCTCCAAAATAAAATAAAAAACATATTTTATAAAAGAAAATACATTAAAAATATTTTCATTGAGCATTTGGTAGAATTCCCTAAGGAGGGCACCTGGGCCTTAGCTATATTTTGTCAGAAATTTTGAATTAATTCAGTATTTTTACCTATTACATATGTTTATTCAGGTTTTCCATTTCCTTTTAAGTCCATTTCAGGGTTTGTAACTTCCTAGGAATTTATCTAGGTTTTCTAATTTGTTGGCATACAATTATCATAGTATTCCCTTATAGTACTTTTTAATTTATGTCAAGTTGTTAGCAATGTTCCTATTTTCATTCCTGATTTTAATATTTGTGTATTATTTTCTTGGTCAGTTTGGCTTAAGTTTTTTCAATGTTGTTGACCTCTTCAAAGAACCAATTTTTTGTTTTGTTGAGTTTGTCTTTTTTTTCTCTATTTCATTGACTTCTGCTTAAATGTTTAAGATTTCCTCCTGATTTCTTTGGATTTGATTTATTTATAAGGTGGAAAGTTGGATGACTTGAGATTTATTATTTTTTGGTAGATGTTTATAGCTCTTTCTAAGTACTGTTTTAGCTAAATCCCATAAACTTTGGTATATTGTGTTTTTGTTTTTCATCTCAAAGTTTTTTTTCTAATTTCTCTTGCGATTTCTTTTTGCTCCTTTGATTATTTAGGATAGTGCTATTTAATTTCCTGATATTTGTGACTTCCCAAATTTCCTTCTATTATTACTGATTTCTAATTTTATTTCACGTGGTAGAATATAGTTTGCATGATTTCAGTTGTTTTAAACTTATTGAGGCTTGTTTATGGCCTAACCAGGAGGTGTAGCCTGCAGAAAGTCATATGTGCACTTGAGAAAAATGTGTATCTGCTATTGTTTGGTAGAGGACTATATACATACATGTCTGTTTTATAGAGTTATTCGTGGCTTTTATTTCATTTCTAATTGTGTAGCTACTTGTTCTACCCATTACTTTAAGCAAGGAATCACAATTCCCAATTATTATTTGTTGAATTGTCTAAAAATATTATATACAAATTTGTGTAATCAAATTATTTACTTATAAGTATATATTATCCAGAGAGATTATGAGAAATAAAAAAATATGACAAATTATATGTAGAAAACTGGCATTTTATAATCTGTTTTGAGCTCTAAAATTGCCATTAAAGATTCTGTTTCATTCTGCAGGAAAACAAAGCAAAACATGTTTAATTTTGCATAAGTAGAGTATCGCACACTTATTTAAAGAAAGAAGTTATAATTTAGAATTGAAGGACAGAAAAAGAGCTTTCCAGACAAGAAAAAATTAACGGAGTTCATGAATCACCACCAAATCAGTGTTACAAGAAATGTCAAAGGGTCTTCTTTAAGAATAATAAAAAATAAATTAAAAATATGAATAATAAAATGGCAATACCAAATGAAAATGGATTAAATGCTTCAATAAATAGAGACAAGGTAGCTGAGTAGATAACAAAACAAGACCCTTCTTTACATATGATGTCTACAAGAGGTTCACTTCAGATTAAAAGACACAGACTGAAAGTCAAGGGATGAAAAAAGAGATTTCATGAAAATAAAAAACAAAAACAAAAAATAAAAGCTCAAGTCACAATACTTATACCAGACAAAACAGACTTTATAACAAAGAGTATATAATAAGAGAAAAAGGAAGACCCAACGATTCTATTTCTGGGTATTTATTCAAAGAAATGCCCAACATGAATCAAAATGACACATGCAGCCACATGTTCATTGTGGCATTATTTACAATAGTGAAAATATGGAAGCAACCTAAGTGTCTGTCACTAGATGAACAGATAGAGAAGTGGTGCATATACAATGGACTATGACAGCAAAAAAAAAAAAAAAAGAAATTTTGCCATCTGCAAATCACGGATGAAGTAGAGTATTGTGCTGAGTGCAATAAGTCAGACAGCGGAAGACAAATGCCATGTGGTTTCACTTATATGTGGAATTTAAAAAACAAAGTAAACAAAAAGACAGAAACAGTCTCATAGACCCAGAGAAGATTTTGACAGTTGCCAGAAGGTAAGAGGTTTGGGGGGATGGATAAACAAGGTGAAGGAATTAAAAAGTATAAATTGGTAGTTAAAGAATAGTCACAAGGATATAAATACAGCATCAGGAATATCCTATATAATCCCATATAATAAAAGCCTAATATGCTAAGTGTCCAGTTGTCCATTAAACCAATCAAAGTGTAATATGCTAATGATACGCTAAGGCTTTTCAACCACTCACTGACCAGCAGGAAGCAGAGAGTCGGCCAGTTGACCAGTCACTATGACATGCACTGATCACCAGGGGCAGATGCTCCAACTAGTAGGTTAGCTTGCTGCTGGTGTCTAGCTGATCCTGACTGAGTGAGATAGTGTAGATATGCCCTAGAGCCTTTCTGTGGTCCCTCCCCAGTTGGTGAAATATCTGTTCTAGTGGAATCTAGATGCTAGGATAGTGATTGGTGAAAATAAGATTGATTATATAGATCAACAATTAAAATTATAGAGAAATGAAGAAATCAGTAAGACTATAATTTCAGATTGTCAAAACCACAGATTTAGTAGCGGAAAGCAGGGTCAGAGCCACATAATACGCATACGGATGAGGTAAAGGGAAAAAGAAAGCCCTGTTGTTTCTAGAAAACACTACAGGGGCAAAGGCTACCTGAGCTCTGAAGAACATACATCTAGGGTCAAAACAACATCCTGTGGATACTGAGGTTTCTTCTAACCTTTCACAGCTTAACTCAATAGTCTCCACCTCTAAAATATACATAAATACCGTGTTTCCCCAAAAATAAGACAGCCTCTGAAAATAAGACCTACTTACAGGTTTCCTTCTGAATGAAATATAAGGCATCACCCAAAAATAAGGCCCCCTTTAAGCTAAACATGAGAGATTTGGTCCACTGATTCTGAAAGAAATGGAGTCACAAGAAATTCACCAGGAAATTCAGGAATTGGATTGTTATGACGATGTTCCAGAAGATGATGACATGATTGTCACTGAATAAATTAGTAAATTCTTGATACTGTAAGATTCACAATTTGTCTGGTTTGTGTTGACAACTACCGTACTACCGTACCATATACAGGTAATAAATTTCCATTATTTTCATTTAACAATAAATGTGTACCGTATTCTTCTTCATGGAAAAATAAGACATCCCCTAAAAATAAGACCTAGCGCATCTTTGGAAGCAAAAATTAACATAAGACACTGTCTTATTTTCGGGGAAACAGGGTATATATTTCAATAAATATTGCTATAATCTTACCTATCACTTTCTAAATCACTAAAATGAATATATATCCATCCAGTGGTCATTATGGCAGGATGACCAGAACATGCCCATTGAGTATGATGTTGGGTGTAGGTTTGTCACATAAGGCTTTTATTATGTTGAAGTATGATCCCTCTACTCCCACCTTACTGAGAGTTTTTATTTTGTCAAATGTCTTTTCTGTAGTAATTGATATGATTATATCATTTTTGACTCTCAATTTTTTTATGTGATGTACCACATTTATTGATTTGCAGATATTGTACCAGCCTTGCATCCCTAGAATAAATTCTACTTGGTCATGGTGTATGATCTTTCTAATGTAATGCTTGATCTGGTTTGCTAGTTATGGATTTTAGCATCTATGTTTATCAGGCATATTGGCCTGTAATTCTCTTTCTTGCAGTGTCTTTAACTGGTTTTTGGATTAGGGTAATGTTGGCTTTGTATAAAGAGCTTGGAAGTATGCCTTCCTCTTGAATTTTTTGGAATAGCCTGAGGAGGATAGGTTTTAGTTATTCTTTGAATGAATTTTTATTGATTTCAGATAGGAAGAGAGAGAGAAACATTAATGCTGAGAGAGAATGATTGTTCAGTGTCTCAAGCACATCCAGTCTGAAATTTGGCATATGCCTGACCCAGAAATTTAACTGTGTCCTCCTGGTTCATAGGTCAAAGCTCATCCACAGAGCCTTACTGGCTAGGCAGTATTATTGTTTTTATTTTATTTGTTCCACCACCATTTATCCCCTCTTTAGTTGCTTCCACCTCCACCCACTACCCTAATTATATTTAAAAGCAATCTTAAATATCAGTATTATTGTCTGGAGAGAGGAAAAAGCCTTTCTGAATACTTCATGTACCTGGTACAAAATGAGAATTATAGTCTGGAGGGGCATCAGGCCTTGGATCAGGTGACTTTAATTGGTTTCCCATTTCATCTGTAGGTTGCTCAGGGGCTGTGGGGACTATGCCTTTGGGGAGAGATAGGGCACATGATTTGCAATGGAAATGATAATATGGTAATAGAATACATTCATTTTTTCTTGTTGGCACGCACCATTGCATATAACCAATAAGAAATACACTCATATTTCATACAAAAAACATAAAATGTAAGTATATTAGACATCAAGCTATTATAATATTTGATAGATTTTCAGGCTGAATATGGATTAAAAAATAAAATATTAAACCATTGTTCTACAATCAAAGCAAGGAACTTTCATGCTACTAGCTTCAGCTGTTCTGATGCTGATACCTATCTACATAAACTTCCTTTCACAGTGTCAAAAATTCTTTTTCATAATATGTAAAGTCATACATAGAGTGAATCTGATTTTTCATGAATCCACTTTGGAAAATTGTTGTTTAGATAAATTCAAAACATAATAGAGTAAGTACTTAGTACATTCAAAACAGAGCATGATAAATACTAAATGGTTTAAAAGCCAGTGGTGACAGATGCAGTTCAATTAAAGGTTTAGTCTACATTTCCAGGGATTCACACTCTTCCCTATTCATCCTGAAAGACCTGTCACACTGATTGCTTCAAGGGAGTATTGAAGTCACTTTTCCTGTTGTTGAAATCAGAGAACCTTTTATTTAGACTCACTATAAGGAACAGTTCTGACTCTCTTAACTGATTTTATCTAAAAACAGTCTCACACACACACACACACACACACACACACGCCATAAACAGTGTGTTTCTCTCCTTGTATCATGTCCTGCATTGCTTGATAATGCAGGGGTTACTTTTGAGCCCTCCTCTATGAAGACAGGCTGCTGTCACAGGCTTTTTATTACTACCTCTCTTTGCAGACTTACTTTCCTACCTGTATTTTTCTTTACCCCAATTTTCCCACATACTTTAGAGATCTTTCTACACATATATGTCAATGTAAATCCATTTTAACTCTTTTTATTAAAGATAGAAAGGAATGCTCATATATATAAGTAAGCATATATACATGAATACATACTCTCCAAATACTTAATAAAAAAAACTTAAAAATGAAATAAACTTCAAAAAAATTTTTAAATCCTTACTGAGGATGCATTTTTATTTTTTAAATTATTATTATGTTCTAATTCTCACCTGAGGATATTTTCCCATTGATTTTTTTAGAGCAAGTGGAAGGAAAAGGGGGAGAAAGAGACACATCAATTGGCTTCTTCCTGTGTGGTCCCAACTGGGAGCCAGGATCAAGCCTGCAACCAAGGTATGTGCCTTTGACCGGAATCACACCTGGAGCTCTTTAATCCAAGGCCCAACACTCTATCTGGTGAGCTATGCAGGCCGGGAAAAATCTGCAGTTTTTAGGGGAAGCAATCACAAAATTTACATTTGAAAATAGAGCATATTAAAACTTATTCATAAAAACTTACCTGGCATTTTGAAGAATTCCAATTAATCCTGAAAAATAAAACATTTCATACTTTAATAAATAGTTACTATTACTACTTATAAAAAGTTCAGTGACTCTTTTAGCCTCCAGTTACCTTTCACACATACCTTCATTAATACAACAAATGTTTACTGAGCACCTATTATGACCAGGTACTATTACAGATGGTGAAAATACAGCAGTAAACCAGATAGACGAATTGCTGGACATTATATTCTAGTGGCATGAGATTCAAGAACATGTCAACAAGTATTTAAGATTAAAATTTAAAGCCAAAACCGGTTTGGCTCAGTGTATAGAGTAGGGGTGTCGAACTCAATCAGAGAAGGGGCCAAAATCTAAAATCCAGCCTAAATCGCGAGCCGAATGGTTTACTGAACAGTCATAAACTGTCATTGTGATGGAAACGCAGCGGAGTGCAGTGATGACAGCGCGGTGCGGGCCACATTGCAAGGCCTGGCGGGACGGATTTGGCCCGAGGGCCTTGTGTTTGACACATGTGGTATAGAGTGTCAGCCTGTGGACTGAACGGTCCTAGGTTCGATTCCAGTCAAGGTCACCTACCTTGGTTGCGGGCACATCCCCAGAGGGGGTGTGCAGGAGGCAGCTGATTAATGTTTCTCATTGATGTTTCTATCTCTCTCTCTCCCTTCCTCTTTGTAAAAAATCAATAAAAAATATATATATATTTTTTTAAAAAGATTAAATTTAGCTGAAACCAGTTTGGCTCAGTGGTAGAGCCAAACTGAAGACTGAAGGGTCCTGGGCTTGATTCTGGTCGGGGGCATGTATGTTGGTTGTGGGCACATCCCCAGTGGGGGGTGTGCAAGAGGCAGCTGGTCGATGTTTCTCTCTCATCGATGTTTCTAGCTATCTCTCTCCCTTCCTCTCTGTAAAAAATCAATAAAATATATATTTTTAAAAATAAATTAATTAAAAATAAAAAAGATTAAATTTAGATAGTACAGTTATGAAGTAAAAAGTTTAAAGAAAAACATGAGAGTCAGGGTACTCCTCTCTCAGAAGATGACCTTTGAGTTCTTTAAACTATGAATGGAGACACTAAACCAAAAATATGGGAGGAGAGATCCAGAAAGACAGAAGAGTAAGGACAAAGGCACTGGTGTGTCACTGGGTTTGTAATACTCAAGGGAGAGAAAGAAGTTATCTTTGGCTGGGACATAGTGAATGAAAACAAAACAAAACAACAAATGAAGATAGAGGTCTGATTGGACCTAAAGACCATAGCAAAATGTTTGGAATTTGTTTTAATTGCAGTGGAATGATCAGATCTGATTTATATTTTACCTTTTATTTTTTCCATCACCTTTTACACCCTCATACCCTCTTCCACCTCCACCCATCCTTCTACAACTACAATCACGACACTGTTGTCCATGAGTACTCTTTCTTTTTGCTCAACCCCTCCAATCCCCAGCATACCTCCCTCCCCCCCTACCCTGACCAGAGTGGTCTGCCTGTTTTCTATCTATGAGCCTGCCTCTTTTTTGCTTGGTAGTTCAGTTTGCTCATTATATTCCACATATGAGTGAAATCATATGGTACTTGTCTTTCTCTGACTGGCTTATTTCACTTAGCATAATGTTCTCCAGGTCCATCCATGCTGTCACAAAAGATACATTTTTCTTTTTTACAACAGAGTAGTATTCCATTGTGTAAATGTACTACTGCTTTTTTATTTTTTTACTAATGGTCATTTTAAAATATATTATTAATGATTTCAGAGAGGAAGGGAGAAGGAAAGAGAGATAGAAATATCAATGATGAAAGAGAAGCATTGATTAACTGTATCCTGAAAGCTCCACACTGGGCATTGAGCCCATAATTTGGGCATATGCTCTGACCTGGAATTGAACCACAGCCTCCTGGTACATAGGTCAGTCTAGCTGGTCCCACTGCTTTTTTATCCACTCATCTACTGATGGATACTTGTGAAAAGCCACAGATGGCCAGTGTGGCTTTTGGGTTCAAAGGCATGGAGAAAGAGCTGACATGCAAATTAAAACAGAAGGAATAATAATTTCAAAATTATGGGGGAAGCCAGGGAAAATTTAACGTTAGTAGTCAAGTTCCATAGAATCTCCTTTCCTAGCTGCTTTTATTTACTAGAATACATAATTGCCTGTTAGGAATGCAAACAGATATATCAGTGGTAATGCTTAGTAAACAATAAGATTATCAGGTTGTGGGGAGTTGGCTTTAGGCCATTGAGTCAACAGTAGGTAATAAAATGCAAATATTCACCTTGTGAATATCAAAGGAGCCCAGGTTAGCCTTCTGATGGACTTCTGGCATTTATATTAATTTCTGTTGATCTTGGTTTCCTGCAGACATTTGGGCTGCTTCCAAGTCTTGCCTATTGTACATAACACTTCAATGAACATAGAGGTACATATTTTCTTTTGATTTAGTGTTTCGGGTTTCTTTGGATAAATCCCAGAAGAGTAATCACTGGCAGTTCTAATTTTTAATTTTTTTTATTTTGGTAATTAACTCCATACTGTTTTCTATAGTGGCTGCACCAAACTGCATTACCACCAGCAGTGAACTAGTGTACCCTTTTCTCCACAATCTCACCAACACTTGTTGCTTGATGATTTGTTGATGACAGATATTCTGACAGCTATGAGGTGAGATCTCATTATGGTTTTAATTTGCATTTCTCTGATGATTAGTGACTTTGAGCAACTTTAATATGTCTCTTGACCATCTGTATGTCCTCTTTGGAGAAATGTCTATTCAGGTCTTTTGTCCATTTTTTAAATTAGCGTAAATGGGTTTTTTTGGTGTTGAGTTTTATAAGTTCTTTATAAATTTTGGATATTAAGCTTTTATCAGATGTATCACTTGCAGATAACGTTCTATTCAGTGGTTTGTCTTTATATTTTGTTGATGGTTTCCTTTTCAGTGCAAGAACTCTTTAATTTGATGTAGTCCAATCTGATTATTTTTGTTTCCCTTGCCCGAGGCAATATATCAGAAAAAATATTGCTAAGAAAAATGCCCAAGATTTTACTGCCTATACTTTTTTTAAGGATTTTTATGGTTTCTAGTCTAAAATTTAAGTTTTTAATCCATTTTGAGTTTATTCTTGTGTGTGGTGTAAGGTGGCCAGGTTTCATTTTTTACATATATCTATTCAATTTTCCAACACCATTTACTGAACAGACTATCTTCTCTCCATTGCATGTTTCTGCCTACATTGTTAAAAGTTAATGAACTATAAAGGTGTGGATTTCATTCTGTTCTGTTCCATTGATCTAAACCACAGTCTGGCCTCCCTTTGTGGGAAGCAACCTGGCTGATCAGGGGAAGGCACCAGCTACATCACCTCACTGCTGCAGCCACTGCCAGTAACCACAGCCACCAAGGTGTTTTCATCAACACGGACTCTGGTCCTTTCACCAAGAAAAAATGACAACTTTCTTTAAGCGTTTTCAAGATGTGTTTTCATATGATATGCATTTCTTTCTTTATTACTTTTTTTTATCCTCACCTGAGGATATATTTCTATTGACTTTTAGAGAATGTGGAAGAGAAAGGGAAAGACAGAGAGCAACATCAAAGTGAGAGGAACACTTTGATTGGTTGCCACCTGCATGAGCCCTGATCTGGGCCCCTGCAACATAGGTACATGCTCTTGATCAGAATTGAACCAAGACCCTGTGGTCGGCAGGCTGAGGCATTATCCACTGATTCGAATCAGCTAGGTCAGGATATGACATTTCTTAATCCTCCAGCAGTGGACCTTCGTTTTTTTCTCCAGAAGTGTGGTGGAAAAACCCTAGATCACCTTTTTGGATTCTTATTACCCAAGTTACGGTACTAAGAATATTATCAGTGGCATACAAGAAGCTTAGCCAATGTGCAGTCAAAAAAGGTGTTTCTTCTATAGTTCACACCAATCATGGGCTTGGCCCTGCCCAAGCCTAAAGCCTCTGGCTGAAGCTTTAGGCCTGGGAGGGGTCCTTCAGCTCCCTATGATCGCCAGCTCCACCTGTTTTTGGCTTTGAGAAGGGGACCCCAAGCTCCCTATGATCGCAGGCTCCCCTCCTGACCAGGCATGCCCAGATGAAAAGCCTCCAGCTGAGGCATTTGGCCTTGGGCAGGGGACCACAAGCTCCCTGTGATGTAAGCTCCATCCCTTGGGCAAGGGACCCTCAGCTCCCTGTGATCTCAGGCATAGCTCCTGCCCCTTCGTTCTGATTGAAGGCTTGACCCTGCCCAGGAGCCCCCTGGCTCAGGGCCTTCCCAGACTGCTCTGGGCCCACGTGGCCTTACCTCACAGTGACCTGGGTGCCAGGATGTTCCTGGGACACCGGCACTGGGCGCCTCTGTATGCAAATTAACTGTCATCTTTTCTGGGTTAATTTGCATACTCACTCTGATTGGCTATGGATGTAGCGAAGGTACGGTCAATGTACATGTTTGTCTATTCTATCTCCACTATACTGAATAGTGGCCATTACCTCATTCACTCAAATCCTTGACTTTACTTTCTGAAAATAAGCTCTGCTTTCTCAGATTCAGCCCTGCCCCCCCCCCCTTTTTTTTCCTGGGTGTTTGTTGTTTGTATTTTGTTGTTATTTTGTTGTTGTTGTTTTCCACAAATACATACTTTTTTTTCCTCCTTTTTCTTTCTCTCTTACCTTTTTTTCCATTTCTCAATATCATTTGAAACTCTTTTCTCTCCGCTAATTCTGTTTTCTCTGGAAGGCACCTTTATTTGGGATTATGTGTGTCATGAATACACTTGAGTTTTGTTCCTTCTGTGTCATGTCTTGTTGAGTTGTATTTTGTGCCTTTTGGTTAACGTGGAAGAGAGTGAGCAACATAACCAGACACTTGAAGAGGAGCAAAAATGGGGAGGCAAAGAAACAGTCCCCATATAAAACAAAGTAGAAATCACTGGAAACGGAAGTAAATAAAATGGAGGCAAGCAATATCTCAGGAGAAGAATTCTGGGAATTGGGCATAAGGATGCTGAAAAGGATAGAAGACAAATTCAACAATATGTTTAAGAACTAAAAGGAAATGA